ATGAAATCACAGCGCCACCCAGTGGCCTGGCATGTCAACTACAGCAGATTCAAGTTGCAACGTTTCCCCAATAAACATCCAAAAATACTGTCAGTTTCTAAACAGCGCCTTAATAGATCACTCCCCACTTCACACCTACTCTCCAACACGGCTTCCTGACTGCAGCATTTAAATCTCCTGATAAAAATGCATGTACTGGAGTCAGGCTGGTGGAAGAACCTGAGTTTTAAACGGAAGAAATCTGTTTGGTTTACTTCAGTTTCTATATGTTTGTAAAAAAAAAACTAAAATCTGCCCTAAATGTTAGCTGAATAAATCACTGAAGGCAAAGTTTGAGAACTAAAAACAGAGTCAGGGAAGATGACATCAGAAATAGCAGAAGGTGAAGAGATGAGAAATGAGGTGCTAGGGAGAGGAAGGTGAGAGGGAAGGAAGTCTGACAGTGTAAATATGCAAATGTTAAAGGAAGAGGGGAGAAAATGCAAATTAGGGAAAGGTATAAACTGACAGCAAGGTGGAAGTAAAGGTGAAGGAGGGAAGAGAAGCGAGACTGAGAAAACTCAGACTGAACGGCAGAAAATATAAAAATATTCGACACAGGAAGGCAGGCAGGAAAAGAAACAGGTATGAAAATATTTGTTCATAAAAATGGTATAAAATAAATATTCACAAAAGAATAGAGGAAAGGAGAAAAACAAAATATTGAAAGAAACAAAAAGAAAAACATTAAACATTAAAATATATATGAATATATATGCTGGATATATGAATATATATGAAAAATCTGCTAACATTGGTAAAAAAAGGAAACAAAAAAACAAAAAGATGAAGAAATGAGAAAAAAATACATTGAAGAGAAAAACTAAAAATAATAACTAAAATAAAGGAAAGAAAAATTAAACCAAAAAATCTTAAAATTCTAACCAAAATAAAGAATAAAAACAAAGATTAAAATCTGATTAAAAAAACCCCTCAAACCTAACAACCAATAAAAATGTATTGATAATTACATAATTAAAATCAACACAGTACTATTATGCAGCAGTTTTATTTTGAATCATGGAAAGAAATGACGCAATAGAAAAACAGCTCTCAGATCGCCTCCATATGTATTTAACTCTGTATTTACACTGCAGCTGGATCGCCACTGAATGGCCGTAGAGTCATAACATTCACTGCTCTCATTTCATTACAACCCAACTACGACCCAAACGCCGCAGCAGTGACTCGAGGAGAACGATTCTTAACTTCATGCTCTGCAGACGATTAATTTAGCTTCGGTGAGCTACGATGGAGAAAGCGACAGTTAACTGGAGCTTGGTGTCTGATTATGCGATTCATAATAATAATGAATCGCGCCCCCTCATAAGACTTTGAATGTAAACCCGACGCGTGAAAAGCTAAGTGTAGAACAAAATGTGAAACGAATGTATTCAAAGTGCAAACGTGTCAAACTTAAAGCGTTGAACGCGTTTCTGACACGCGTGACTCCTTTGGTGCGAACGCACCATCAGCTCTGACTGCATCCAAACAGATTCCTCTACAGAAGGTCAAGTCGATGCTCCACAAAAGGCTGTTTCTAAGCCAGTTGTGCTTTTTTATTTTTATTCTTCGTCTTGTTATAATTCTGGGATGATCCTCCTAAAGCTGAATAAACTTTAAAATCGATCCATACAAGGTACTATACTAGTAAGTGTTGACACAGAAAAAGCATTTGATTTGGTAAATTGGGAATTTCTATATAAATCGTTAGAACGATTTGGATTCAGCAATAAATCAATACAGTGTACAAAGACATTATATCAACACCCCACAGCGAGAATCAAAGTAAATGGAAGCCTGACCGATAAATTCAACATGCAAAGATCAACAGACAGCGGTGCTCTGTGTCACCTGCTGTTCGCCCTCTTCATAGAGCCTCTGGCACAAGCAGTACGACAAGACGATAAAATTAAGGGAGTTAAAGTAAATAGAGACGAACACAAACTTTTTGCAGTCGATGTAGTAACTTTTCTTGAACAGCCAAATGAATCTCTACCAGAATTGATTAATCTTTTTGGAAACTATGGTTATCTTTCGGGATATAAAATTAATGTCACCAAAACACAAATTCCAACACTCAATTACATCCCAACAAAAGAAATACAGGAGTCATTTCCCATCAAATGGAATATGAAGGAAATTAAATATCTAGGGGTTAACATTACTAAAGGGTTGTCTTTGCTGTACAAAGCAAATTACGATAAAATAAGCCAAGAGATGCAAAAAGATATAGATAGATGGGCTACTTTGCCTTTAGATCTGAATTCAAGAATTGATATTATTAAAATGAATGTGCAAGCAAAACTATTATATTTGTTTCAGGCATTACCAATAGAGGTCCCTCAAAATCGCTGTGGATCAATGAAAGCTAATCATGCACACATATTTTGGAGCTGTCCTAAAATTGTCCAATTTTGGAAAAATGTGCATGAAACTGTGAAGAAGATTCTTGGATATGATATTCCTATGAGCAGCATGGTACTGTATCTTTGCAATTTTAACAATATCAATGTAAGGGTGAAAGACAGGTACCTGATAAAGATAATGTTAGTAGCTTGCAAGAAAGCTATCACGAGGAACTGGGGAAAGACAGACCCCCCTTGTCAAGAACAATGGACTGGAATAATAGAAGAAATCTACATTATGGAAAAACTGACACATCGATTGAGACTTCAGCAAACACAAATGTTAGAAAAGTGGATGAAATGGACAACATTCAAGACAAAAGACAGCGAGAACAAATAGAGGAAAAACTAGACATACCAGATAGGACAAAACTCAAACTCAAATCCCAAGCAAAAGTTTTGTGTTGTGAGATGTTTAAATGTTCAGATATGTAAACAAATGTGAAAAATTTCAATAAACAGCTAAATGGAAAAAAAATAAAAAATCGATCCATAATCAGCAGCATCAGTTATTATTTCCATGAACAGAGCGCTGCTGTGTGGCGTCTACGTTCTTCTTCTGTGCATTCGGGTTTGAACAGAAGTCGCATTTAATGATCAGTATGAACGACCACGCAAGAAATAACAGGATTTAATGCAGCGTCTAGACCTGCCGTGTGAACGTATCCGCCTTAATCCCCACATCTGGTGATCGGACCGAAGCGCGAGGGGAGTGAGAAGACGAACACGTTGCTGCTTAAAACGGCCAAACACAGAAACTCAAGACAAACATGAAGGGAAATGAGCCACAAAAAGGCGCAGAGATTAGAGAGACGACTGGAGGGATGAATCGATATCCTGCTGAGGTCTCCTCTTACTCCAGCTCCTTTACATGAAAACGGCAGAATATTGATCCGTCTTTGTTCCTTAAGCATCTACCTTAAGCTTTCCTAAGCAGCTCCCAGCTTTTGTCCCTCATCTTTTAGCCCAAACTATCCTCCCTGTTTATCAAAGAATGAGCCGAGAAACGGGAGAGAAAATGCAAACAGGCTCATCAAAAATCACAGTTTGACTAGAGAAACGTTCCTGCCTGCGTCTGTTTGATTTCAGGATATTAACTCATCAATCTCTGGTGCGACGGTGAAATAATTCAATTAGAGTCCCTAATTAGAGGACATAAATGTGTTTTTTTTAAAACAACAGTAGAGATAGTTACACCAGCAGATGTCTGTCTCTGTACATTAAACACAGCAGCAATTTAAAATTAAGATCATATTAAAATAATTAGATGCTCAAATCTGAGGAAATGATTTGGACTGGAGGATAAGAGAAGGCTGCAGCGGCCTTCACAGTGGAGCTAAAGCTCACCAAACGCTGCTTCAATCACTTCATGCAAAGATGGGAAAAGATTTATAATCCGATTAGAGCCAACAAATAATCAAACCCAGAAGGTTCAGCTGTTAAATCGGGATATTCCAGCACTGATTTGTTGCTTTGCATTGAATAAATTAACGTCACAAACTGCCTTACGGACTGGACATTTCTTTTCTTTAACTGCGCTTCTCCAGCATTCCTCAGTTTAACTCCAGTTGAGCTCATTTTTACTGGTGCATTTTGTTGATTAGCCGATATTTCCATGCAAACCGATCTCATCCGCCTCCACAAACGTCTGAAAATCAGCTGCTGTCCCTTTTGCTCTGATATCAGCGGACGGACTGACTGACACCAAACTGAGCAACTTTGTCTCATTTTTTCACCTTACATGAACTGCTAGCTCTAGAAGCTAGCTTCTAGCTAGCTGGCCAGCTAGCTTCTAGCTCCACCCACAGCTGAATGGTTGCCATGGAGATTAAAGGATTTCTCAAACAAAGCACCCCATGGATGTTTTTGATGAGGGAATAAACTTCCAACATGATGTGAAACTCCAAAAAGTGGATTTTACGTAACGCTGGCCATTTACATGGATGAACAATTTGGAACAATTTAAAAGTTAAACAGCCCTCAGTAAATATTCTCTTTCTTTCTTTCTTTCTTTCTTTCTTTCTTTCTTTCTTTCTTTCTTTCTTTCTTTCTTTCTTTCTTTCTTTCAGGGAAACACAGAACTAAACTAACAAGCTGTTACCTTTAAACCCGTACAAATAGTAACGAGGCGTTTATAAAGCTTTAACCTTCAACACCGTGAGCGAGAGTCGGCTGTGATGTCCCGCTCTCTGTTTGCGAACACACAGAGAGGAAGAGGGAACTTTATGAGCCCCGCAGGCCCCAAGGAAACTGCAGTCCCAGTTGCTTTATGTGTTGGTCAATTTAACACTGCTAACATCAGCAGATTAAAAATGCATGTGCCCAAGGACGCTGGCTGGAGAAACTTTGAGAGTGTGTGTGTGTGTGTGTGTGTGTGTGTGTGTGTGTGTGTGTGTGTGTGTGTGCAGGTGTTTAATCACGACAAGCACACTATAAACAGTAGAGTTATTACACCGATACTCAGCTTTTACAGGGAAATCTTTCTGTTAAGTTTAGTTTTAACAAATGAAAAGAAAGGAAAGTTTAAAAACTCAGCAGATGTCATGAACTCACATGGTTTCATCGTTCTGAAACTCCAGCTTTCCAGCAGCCATTTCGTAGTCCTCCCCTCCTTTAGCTGTCCCGTCCAGGGTCCGATAGGGGACGGCGACCAGACCGCGGGCCCCCGACGTCCGTAGGACCTTCACCTCCATCACGCCCACGCTCTCACTCACCCTCTGACTGGCGCCTTCGAACGTGAAGATACCTGGAGACAGGATGGGGCAGATAAATGCCTATACAGAGAGGAACATTAAACTCTAAATAATCAAGACTTCGTATCCATTTAACATTTTTATTCAGGGCTGGGGCTTTAAAGATTTAATTTTGATTAGTTAATTATATAGATTTAAATCAGATTTTTTCCGGCCGGAACATTTGTATTTGCATGTTTCTGGTACATCTGTAAATCTGACGCACAAGCAGCGTCAATAAACAACATAATGGAGACAGAACTGCTTCTCTAATCTAAACCCACTGGGGTTAACCCATTTGCTTAACCTACGTTTCAAATCTCCATTTCAAATCTCCATCTGGATATTTTTGCTTATTCTAGTTCTCTGAAGCTCTTTAAATGCCCTGTGAGTAAATAATTTTGCCCAATTCTCCATAACAACTGGAACTTTCAATATCTAGCAGTTATTTTTCACTATTTACCATCTATTAAGAAAGTTTCTTCAGATTAAACTGAAGTAAAACATCTTGAAATGGCGGGAGTGAAATTACCGTAATAAAACGCTGGAAAGTGCAACGTCTCCCCTTCCAGAAACTGTTGGGATTTTTCAGATGGAGCAAAGTGTGGCGGGATTACGGTACCGCAAAGCTGGCCTGTAAAACCGTGTCATCTGCGACGCCTTTCTGCCGACGAGGGTTAAAACACGATCTGATGGGACGTTAGGAAAGACTGTTGTTGTGTTTAAGTAGCGCTAGAAGGTGTTTTAGCATATTCGATGCTAAAATAGCCTCTAAACGTGTTGATGTTTCTAAAGTGGTTCCAGAAACACGTCAGAGCTGATCGGGTCGAACAGCACTTTGCACCGATCTGATGGGTCTGTGAAGCTTTAGAGAGACAATGCTGGATGATATCAAGAATATGAAAGAAAATATGTGCTTTTCCATTTTCTTGAGGGTTGGACACATCGACAGCAGGAAAGGCATTATTAGTTTATCACTGATATGTAAAAGTGGATTCTTGTTGGTCGTTGTAGCAGAATTTCAACACATTTAGAATAGAAATATCAATAATCTGACTACCGGAGGGCATATTGGTCTTTTTTTTTACCTCGGCGAGCTTTCAGTGTGATTGATTAAAACCTTCGTTTGTTAAAGCCTCGTCTCACCTGCGTGGTCGTCGTCGTAGATGGTCACTGTGGCCGTGTGGTTTTCTCCCAGCACGGCCTTCGGGGCGGCGCTGGCGTCCAGCGGGGCGGCGCCGATCTCGGGGCAGCCGACCACGCGGGGGTTACTGAGGTGAACGTAGAAATACTCGTCCTCCTCAAAGATGTCATCGTCGATGACGCCGACGGTAATCTCTGGAGAAAACAAAAGCAGTCATCGGGACATCAGATGATGCTCCTGACCCGGATCGTCTGTGTTCGCTGCCTCACAGATAAAACTCTTCATTAATTTGATGCTGTTTCTAGAAAGTGAACCTCGCTCCGTGCTTCTGAGCTTAGCTGTGTCTCCTGCCTGGACAGGAAAAACTTTGGTGCTCAGTTTTTATTTCAGAAATCAGTATTTGGAGGAATAACCGGGAGGTTTCCAGTGAGGTTCAGAGCAGAGCTCTGAGTTTTTACAGATCTGTCCAAAATGTGGCCTGGGAACTATTTTGTTTGGCCCTCAGTTGATACAGATGAAAGCTTTGTATTTTTAATTTGTATTCATCTTCAAATAACCACACTTTTACACTCACAAGGGTGACATATATCCATCTCCAAACACAAAATGATTTAAATTTTACTTTTATTGCTCCAAACTGACTAAAATGTTTGCTTTTTTTTTTTTTTTCAATAAACACTTGACAAATATTTATTTTACAGGGCAAACCCTTAGGTTTTGGCTCTGGAATAGTTTCCACCTGACTACTTCATTTGTTTTATTAAACTGTTACATCATCAAGTCAGTAAAGAAAAGTAAAACATTGCAGTAAAAGTTTTTAGTAAAAATATGACACTTTTTTCTTTCTTTCCAACCTTTTTGTCCACTGTAGAAAGTTCTCCCTGGTTTTCTGGGATTTTTACACTGTGGTTCCTCTCCACTGTCGCCACATGCTTTCTCTGGGTGAGAAATTGTTGTTTTTTCCAACTGGATCTGAATCTAACTTGGATTTTATTGAAAGAAACTGGATTGATTTGAGCTCGAGTCTGATGCAAACTGATTTCATGCAGCTGGATGTGAACTGTTTGGACCAGTTTGTTCTGTTTTGTTTTGCAGACTCATTGTGGTAAACAGCACATGCAGTTGCCCTGCAGGGCTGCAGATGACGTCTGCTGTCTCAGTGACGCCGCTTTTGAAAACATGTCGTGGTTGCTCATGTCACTCTTTACCTTTGAGGGTCTCTCCAGGCTTAAACAGCAGCGTTCCTTCAGCAAACTCGTAATCTGAGCCCGCGTTGGCCGTGCCGTCCTCTGTGCGATAATCCACCTGGGGCAGAGCGCAGAGAGGGAAGACAAGAAAAAGAGGGATGAGATAAACGATAGCAGATACATGAAGAGGGCAGATTAAACAGAAAGGAGAGAGACGGCTTCATTAAACGAAGCCTTGTGGTCAGATGCAACTCAATCATTAATTCTTTGAAGATGGCACAATAAAATATTCTCCACATTTTCTTCCATTCATATCTGAGACTTCATACGAAAGCGAACTTTAAAACCAGGAAACGAGCAGAGCGACCCTGAAAGCCGGTTTCTGCTCGCAGGACAAGCTGAAGTGAGTGTGACTGCGGTAATTTATTCCTATTTTTAGCTCTTCATGAAACGTGTATGCTCTTAGAGAGACTCTGAGCTTAATTTATTTTCAAAAACACCCATTCAGATATTTCTGGTCCTGTCCCGAGGCTCGGTAATATTTCAAAGTTTCCAGACATGCAGGCTGCTGGTTTCATACATGAAAATGTAAGAGATTAATCCTTTTGGTAATTTTTTGGTAGACAAAAACGCTGCAGATGTAGTTCCAACACAAAAACAATTCTGATTTATGTCAAGTTTATCTCTACTATTTCTCATCATCACCCAACGATCTCAGTTGCTGTTGGATGATTAGCATCACTGCTTGACAACAAGGAGTTAGAAAACCCATTAGTGTTTACTTGGAGCCAATATCATCCACTCATTTCATGAAAACTGGAAGGTTAAATATTTCTGCTACTACAAAAATTAAGACCTGCTATTATTTAAGGCTAATATACATTATTTTCTAATGAATTTAAGTCATTGCAGGGTCTTAATTTAAATGAATGTAAGACTTTTTAAGGATGTGCTGACAGCCTTGAGTCAGAGGCCTCTTCAGATTAATTGCAACACTGACTGCTACTGGAAACCCTTCCATCACCAAAGTCTGTCTGAAGATACTTGGATGGTGAGAGTAACGACATTTAATTTCCCTAAGGACTGAAAACAGCAGCATTTATATGCAAGAAGAAAATTTCAAACACCGCAGACGGCGCTGACATGAAGCAGCCTTTGCTAAAGGACGAGGTTTTCTAAAACAACAGATGAAAAAGTTCTCCCAGCTCGCCTCATAGCTCCTCTATCATATGAGCATCACAACAGCATCCGATTAGAAAGGAAGACAAGGATTTCCACGTCTGCTGGAGGTGAAAACACTTCAGGAGAGAGATCAGATGTGCTGGAGATGTGAGCGGTCGCTTCCCCAGGTGCCTGCTTTTATTTCTCGTTACGTCTGTTAGCCTCCGCACCCACAAGAGTTTTAATCCCAGCGGACTGGGATTAATTAGTCCTAATAGAAACTCACTTTGACAGTGACTCCGGGGTCTCCTCCGTGTCTGGCTACGGTCAGATTCAGGGAGCCGCAGTTTTCGAAGCACTGGTACAGAGACGGCTCAAACTCCATCCTGATGGTGTGAGGGTCGTCCTCCTGGGTCTGCGTCTCGTTGGTGCTCACCACCTGAAGAGCAAAGTGAAAAAACACGCAGCTGAAAGGCTGCCCGACGGCAGACGGTAAGAGGTTAAAGGTCACAGATGATCACCTTGCGAGCCTGGTCGGCGGCGTGCTTCTTCAGGATGTTTCCAGCTCCGATCATCATCCTGGTGGCCTGGATGCGGTAAAACGCTCGGCTCTTCTGCTGCTGCATCAGAACCTGATCAGAAACACAATCAATAACCAAACAGATAACTGTAGATAACTGGATATGATTAAACTTCTGTTTGAGCAGAAGAGAGAAAACAATTTTTTTAGTTACATATTTAAATCTTTTATTTGTTGCAAGCACAAATGATCCATCATGACCAAACACAGAAATAATCAATAAATGTGACTAAAAGGGCAGAAGAGTAGTGCTGATGTGCTTAACTCTAAATTTGCAAACTTTCTCCAATTAACTTTTTATTTTTAAAACAGAAAATACAAAAAAAGAAAAAGAAAACCTTCCTTTTTTTAAAAAATCGTCATCTAGATTACATACCATCGCCTTTCTAAAAATAATGACCAACAGTGATTTTAACAAAAAATGACTAAGGAAGGCAACAATATTCATTCATTCATGTAGATATTTAAAGTAGATCATCAAATTTATAAAAAAAAATTAAAACAAAGATGAGCTTAGTTAAATTACTTTTTATTTTTTCATTCTATTTATGGGTCCATGATCTCATTTATTAGAAACCTGTTTTGATAAAGTTACAAGCACAGATAGGAAAGTTTGACTCAGTTAAATGAGCTAATAAAAAATGAACTAAAAACAAGTTTCATAAGAATATTCCTCTTTTCGTCCTAAAAGAAATTTGAATCATCCCAAAGGAATTAGATCGTGTTGTAGAGTTTCACATTGACAGTAAGAAAATGTTGTTTTCCCCCAAGATTTGACTGCAGTAATGGAAAAATTAGTTTTAAATGGAAGAAAATATCCAAACGAACCTTTCCCAAAAGGAAAAACTAGTCACCTATGAGCCTAATAAGAGTTAAATCTGAGTAAGTATTTAACATCAGTGGAGGATCTTTTGCCCATTTTCTATTACAGAATTATCCTAAATTAAACAGATTTGAGCATAAACAGTTTATAAGAGGTCAGAACCTTAATTAGACCTCTCCAAAAATATTTTTTTAGCCATTCAGAAGCAGAATTGCTGAGGTTCTTTGCAGCGCATTCGGTCCAAATGCACCTAATCCCCTTCAGGATTTTCTGGTAGAGAGAAAAATTCATGCCTCCATAAATTACCGCCAGATCGTCACACTAGAACCACTTTTTTCTGCCTGTTTAATGTTTTATTCTCTGAGATGCTGTGAAACATTTTGTGTGTGGCTGTAAACAAAAACAGAAGAAATCTTTATGGGGAAAATACATTTTCAAAACTCTTTAGTGGGCTTGACTTTTACCTCCTTCATGAAGCACCAGACTTTTCACTCTGAAATTTAAAGCTAATGATGCTTATCAATCCAAAGGCACTGATTTCAATAAAACTGCATGGTTGAATAGTAACCTTAACGACCTCCCAAATTGAAAATGGACAAATTGGCTATCCTAGAAGTGAAGATCATTACATTAAATTGACTCTGTTGGCTGGGAACAATGTAATTAATGTAGGTTTAGGCAACGCGGTGCAGCTGAATCCTAAATCAATCTGCAGCAGTTTAGGTGGAGGCCAATAGTAGGTGTTTTAACAATAGCAATCAGTAACATAAGTACTATAAAACATCAGTGCTATAAATAGTTTCACATAGCATCTCCTAAAGCAGCTGGTCCGTAGGCCTCATTTCAAAAAGTAAATTTAAAACTCTGAGACACAGATGGGTATCATTTCCAATGAGATACTAGAACGTCATTGGACGCTTTTTTCTTTTTTGATCAAAGTTAAGCTAGCACCTAATAAAGAGGCAAGCTAGCAGCTTCTCAAGAGTCAAGCTAGCAGCTTCTCAAGAGTCAAGCTAGCAGCATCTCAAGAGTCAAGCTAGCAGCTTCCCAAGAGTCAAGCTAGCAGCATCTCAAGAGTCAAGCTAGCAGCATCTCAAGAGTCAAGCTAGCAGCTTCCCAAGAGTCAAGCTACAAATCTCTACTATTTCTTAATGTCTAAATTAATGTCTAAAACATGAGAATGTACCTGATAATTAGCCATCTCGATCAGCTGCTCCATGTCCTTGTCTGGGTGTCTCTGCTTCAGCTCCTTCAGTGTCCTCGCCATGTCCCTCCTGGCCTCATCATCCTCATCCTTTCCCCCCTCCATCATCCCTCCGTCCATCCCGCTGTGGCAGTTCAGCGCGATCTGTCCGTCTAGTTCCAGCATGTCCATCTTTGTGAATCCACCCAGACCCAACGCTCCTCCTCCGCCTCCTCCGTCCATGCCGCCAATCCCTCCATCTCCCTCCGTCTCAATGATGATGCCGCGGTGCTTGTCGGCACGGTAACGCTTGCGGACGTACTTGTAGAAGAGAAGTCGCCGGTCGGCCACCCAGGCTTGGACAACGCAGAGGGGAAAGCAGAGGAAGGTGAGCACAGCCTCCCATACCTGCAGAAGAGAAAAGACGAGGGGGAAATTTAGTTTTATTTTTTTTACAAATGCTGTCAATCCGTTAATCACGATTAATCACGATGCCTAACTTTGCAACTTTGTAAGCTTGACATATAAATATGCACGCAGTTGCCTGAATGGAGCCTCCTTCTGCCACACTTCAACCAATTAAAATGCACGTAGATCGATTAATCGATTAATTTTAACACATTAAAATAATGCAATATTAAATCAGCGCAACGTTGCCCTCCTTTTTACCCTTCCTCACCTCCACCTCTCCGGGAGAAATCACGCTCAGAATCATGTAGAGCCAGATGTAGGCGAACAAGCTCCATGCTGCCGTGACGAAGAACACCCGGAGGTGTTTGATCTTCCTCGTCTCGCCGTCGGGAACCACGTACACGCAGAGGGCGATGATCACAAACATGTTGAAGGCGGCGCTGCCCACGATGGTGCTGGGACCCAGAGACCCGGCCTCAAAGCCATGACCGCACACCTGCAGGTCGGAGGTCAGACAATCGGATTATTGCTCTGGGTTTCATAACGTCTGGTCTGCTGGGCAGCTCCCGACCTCGACCCGGACTTACCTCAATAACTGACAGCAGAATCTCAGGAGCGCTTGAGCCCAAAGCCATGAGCGTGAGATTGGAAACGGTTTCGTTCCAGATCCTCACCGTAGCCGTAGTGGTTTCACCGTTTGGCTTTTTTATTGTGATCTCCTTCTCTTGGGACGTTATGACCTGCAGAGAAGAGGAAAGGCAGCAACAGGAGATTGTTTTAATTTATTCCTTTTTGTGGAAGGCACTGTGGATAGTGTAGGTGTGAGATATGTTGGTATTGATCTGATACCAAGTAAATACAAGTATCACTGATATTGACACCAATACCAATACTTTTTATTAATCGTCAAACTTCTGGCTTTTGTATTTTCTTAATAGGTACACCAATTTATTTATGCCAATTTTCTTAATTTTGGGAGATCGGTGATCAGCTGATATTTATATGTGAAGCTGATCTTATGTCCTGATTTTATCTACTTTGGGAAACGTCTAAAAATCAGCCACCAGGTCATTTCTGCATGTTTCCAGCTAACAACAGTCACTCCACTGTCACAAACTCAGCAACATTCTTGCTGTATTTAACAACATTTCAGACAAAAAAAATAATATTTTTGACCAAAATTAGAATCGGTAGATTAAGGGTTTTTTAATGATCGGTAATTGGCAATCGGCCAGAAAACTGCAATCGGTGCACCCTTCGTTTTAACTGTGAAATATTTTGTTAAATCCTAGGATGGAATTTGGACAAAGTTCATTGGTGTCTACAAAATACTTTCACAACATGTTAACATGATAAACAGAAAAATAGATAAACAAAACAAATTTGTGTGAGTCTTTCCTAAATGAAAAAATTAGAATTTGAGAACAAATCAAAGCAAAATCTTTTTTGAGGAACTTTTGAGAAGCAATGCTGCAAAAATAAAATAACATTTAGACAAAATCTGAAACAAAAGTATTGATCTTGCCATGTTAGTATCAATCTGGTACTGATACCAAGTTTATCAATATTTTTGGATCAATCTGCCCGGTTCTAGTGGACACGAGTGTTTAATGAGTAACGTACCTCTATGGACGACATGAACCGGTCCGCTATGATGCTCATGCCCAGGAACATGTAAATAAGTGCCACAAAGTAAACAATTGCCCGTGCCACTTTGTCTCCCACTGACGGGTTCTGGGGGTTCCAAACAGGAAGTACCACTCCTGAAACACAAAAACAAAAATTAAAACAATTTGTCTTTACCAGCAGACATTGTACAGCGCATACAGCGGGAAAACCAACTGACCAAACGTGTTGGAACTCAGCTTGGGTTGCCAGGTAATGGGCGGAATGCCGCTGGGGTTGCTAAGTAACGGGCGGAATTCTGCTGGGGTTGCTAGGTAACCATGCATTGCCTGCTGATTTGTGATGTTACATTTTAAAGGTTTTTGAAACAACTCATTAACTTATTGCCAGAAAAACAGCTGAGTGGGTTTTTGGGGGCTGATATTAGAAGCAGTTGAGACCCAAATGGAAGCATTAAAATGTACAAAATGTGAATTTTTGTGTAATAGGAACTGCTTAAACATTACAAGGTTGTGTCACTCTTTCACTTTTTCAACTGAACTGGAGTTTATATAAAATATATCAGTGGCCCACCTTCCTGACAGGGGTCTCCGCTGGCCGTACAGTTCCCTGAAGACTCTGCAAGGGCCGGAGCCGCGCATGAGATCAGCACAGTGAGGAAGATGAGGAGGAAGAGCAGTGAGGAGGAGGAGGGGCGGAGGGAGACGAAGGCAGATGTATGGACAGGCATGGCCGCAGGAGCCATTGTTACTGAAGCATCCGGCCCGACGTTTAATCACTCGCTTAGGGTCAGCTCAGAATCGAGTGAGGTCCCAAACCTGCAGGACGGCAGAGAGAAAAGCTTCGGTTTTATTACAGGACAACGTGTTTAACAACATACTACTGAAGCTCCGTTCTACATCCATCCGTCTTTTAGGGGAATAGTTGGAAGGTGATTTAAGGTGGATTCAGGCACATAAAATGAAAAAGCAATAAAAGGCGGGTCATTACACGGGAGAAAATTAGAGAGATTCTTTAGACGTGATGTAAACTCTATTAAAGTCGTGGCCTGCAGCTGTAATGGACCTACAAATAATAACCATTTGAGCTTTCAGTGGATTTGTTGAGCCTGAGGTCCTGGAAAGCACAGATAAAAAATATTAATCCTCTTTTATTTTCTTACCTCAGACAAAAAGAGACAATAAAAACATTGTTTTTGCAGTTTAACCCAAAGATGACCGTAACTGTTTTTATGTATGTTACCCCAATATCCAAAATGAAGCTGAATTCACATTCAGGAAGGAAAATTGGTGAAACTTTTTGTTTTGTTTTACCATAAACAAAGCAAAACTTAAGGATGTTTTTAATTTTACCTTAACAATCCTTAAAGGATGGGGAGAAAAACCAAACGTTTACCAGTTTTAAGATGTAATTTGTTATCCTTTAGGACGTTACTTTTGTTTTCTCAACTAATTAAGTAGTGAATTAATTACTGACTGAAAAAAATGACCATTTACAGATTGAACAAACTCAGAGCAGTACTTAAGCCAAAACTGAACATTTTCCAATTAAGATTAATAAAGAATATTTTAAAAAAATTATCTGTAAAAACTTTCGGTTGTACCCAAAACCTCTCAGTTGTCATAGTTTCAGCTTCACCTGTTTCAAATTCTGTAAAAACAAGCGAAAAAGACAAATCTCTTAAAATGCACCTTTTGCTGTCCAATTATTAATTGCTTAATCAAATAAATAATCAACAGATCAATTCTACCCTGTATTGATAAGTCAAGCAGAAAGAGGTGAGATTTTCACATGTTGATGGTAGAGGTATTTTTTGCTACAAATTATCAAACTAAAGAAAATAAAACTGATTTGCATTTTAAGCAATAAAATATTTATTTTGTTATTGGATAAGGAATTATTTGTTTATTTGCGTCTTTTAATGTATTTCCAATATTGTATAAAGTAGAAAAATGTTTAAAAGTTTGCACACGATTCATCATCGGATTAATCTATAGTTTATCCAATGACATGGTTTGGATTAACTCGCATTCATGTGTGAGAACGGCCTAGTCAAAGTCCAGATGAAAATCCAGATGAGAATATGTGAATCAGTGTTCAGACACAGGGATGATTCTGATGGATTACATGTTTTCATGTTTTGAAGGTGTTTCACTAAATCAGAGATTATCCAAAGGTTCAGTGGATGAATTTCATAAAATCAGAAGCTCTGATCCAACATTTCCAAGTGCCAGAAAGTCTGTTTTTAGATAATTTTCTAATTTTAGATCATTTTCAGTTTTTAGATCATTTTCAGTTTTTAGATCATTTTCTGTTTTCCCCAGACTGATAGTGCTCCTAAATAATCAGCTCGCCAAAATAAAAGCCCTACTGTTCTAATATTTACCTAAGAACATCAAACATGGAGGATTTGTTTTGTTGTAGAGAGAAAGAAGGCAAACAGAAACTCTCTGCTCAGTTTGAGTTTGAGGTCAACTTTTCATGTGGATTCCTTTGACTCGATGTCTTCCCACACCATAGCTGCGTTAGCAGAGACGGAGAAATGGTGGAAAAACGCAGCTTTAAAATCGATTTTTCAATATTCCCCCCAGAGTCTGGTGAAAATAACGGCCTTCAAATTTGTCTTTCTTTGCACACAGGTCATTGCAGGCAGACGTGTCTGTGTGCAGACCGCGGTTGGTTTCACGCTGGGAAGCCAAACTGTGGAAAGCAGAAATAAAACGGCAATATGTTTCCTGAGCGGCTCTTCATTAATCTGTTAAGAGAGAAACCGTTTTAAGATGTCAGGTCAAGTCAGGGCAAATAAATGCTCACAGTCACAGAAAAACAGCCTCACTTCCTTTTGGACATTATCTCAAATACATTCAAACACCCTGGACTCAAACTGCTGACCCGCTTTTCTCAGAAACACCACGTACAAATAAGCGTGGTTAGTCATCTGTGGTGACATCAACGTTGGGTCGCTCACCCCGTCCTCATCCATCTTCAGGGTCTTCCTGCTCCGACAGCAACCTGTCACTTCAATGCTCTGTTCACGTCTCTCCTTTCTACTCTGTGATGTCGATGCTTCTGTAGCATCTTAGCCTGCAAGATTTAACAGAAACTGATACGTCCCTTTCTTATCTGCACGGTCCAAATCTACTCATTTAAGCACAACAATTTCATGCAGGAGTGGCTTGTTGTTTTTGTAGCCTCCAAGTCAAATGAACAACACATTTTAACTTCTTTTCAAATTACCAATATGCAGCGCTAGCTTGAAGTGACGTAGTGCCAAACAACAAGCTGATGTGAGAGAATCAATGTCAGATGGAGAGAAAAAGTGGCTTTGTGTAAAGTGTCCCCAAAATAAGATTTTTAAAGTTACAAGTTACATCATGGTTGAACAATTAAATAAAACAAGAAAACTGAGACCTTTAGCTGCTTCCGTTCATTACGGCCACTCTGTGTTTAGTTTGTTACTGAATTTGGGAGAAATTACAGCTCTGGAAACAATGAAAAGACAACTTAAAATGATCAGTTTCTCTGATTTTACTTTTTGTATGTATATGTTTGAGTAAAATGAACATTGTTCTTTTATTCTATGAACTACTGACAACATGTCTCTGAAATTCCAAGCAAAAATGTTGTATTTATTTGCAGAAAATGAGAAATGGACACAATAACAAAAAAGACGCAGTGCTATCAGATCTCAACTAATACAAAGAAAAAAGTTTATATTCATTTAGAAACAACAATAATAATGTTTTAACCCAGGAAGAGTTCAGGAATCAATATTTGGAAAAACCAGGAGGTCTCTAATGAGGGTCAGTGGGCTCTTAAGTTTTTCCAGAGCTGTATGGTGGATTATGCTAATCCAAAGTGAGCTAAATAACATCACAATTTTAGTATTTCACATAACAATCATCCGTGTGGTGAATTATAGGCAGAAGTCGGCTCACGAAAGAGCACGTTTAAATCTCTGGGGAGGGTGCTGGTCTAATATGTCTCCAAGCTGCTGCTTTCAGCCAACACTGATCCAGACTTTCACCTCATTGAATAGATCAACCCAAACTCCTCATAACTGTCACTCACTTAATTTTGAACAAACTGCTACTGGAATACGATCAGTAATTACATTATTTAGTTTGGTGAGACGCTATGCAAAGGTTCAGTCTGCGCTGATGAAGATTCACTCATTTCAGGGTGATGGATGCTTCAGTTTTAAAGAAACTGTCAGAAAGAACAACACAGTAATTAAGTCAAAACTTTACAAAAATACACAAATTTTTCATGGCATATGTTTCTAATGCTGTATAAAAAAAGACTGAAGTGCTTCAACGAAAAATCTACAGAATGTGCTAATTTATTTTATGATTAAAATACTCAATCATGAAAATAATCATTACCGGCACCCATGAAATTACATGTGGCTTGAAACCTTGTTACTTACTTTTTTGTATAAAAACAAAATATGCCACAATATGAATAGAGAAACAATAAAAAATCTTAATTTTGTGAATCGGTAAACAGATGAAAAAGAAGATGAAGGCGGACGAGGAGCATATTTACAGCCTCTGTAGAGCAAATCACACACCAGCTTCGACCTGTTTATTGAAAGCAGTAAGAGCACTGACAGCGGCCGTCAATTCACATCAACTCAGCTGTACCTCACTGCTCTGCCTCACAGACACACAGAGACACACACACACACACACACACACACACACACACACACACACAGCCTCAGAGGGCTCATGTCTCAGGGTTAAATGACATTTCCATTCGACTTGTTTATACAGATTCAGCTGGTATTTATCCTTTCAGTCGCCTCTCTTCTCTCCTGCGCTGCGTTTCGGGGTTTTCCTGTCCACCATATTGTGATATTAATAGTTTAACTCTCCTGTTTCTCCCTCTGTCCTCCGTCAGGAGGAAAAAACCCAGCAGTGGTGAGTGGATCAGGATTTATGTCCCTCTCAGCGCTACAGGAATGTTTTATTCACTGATTTTTCTTCATCATTTTGAATCTGGGATCAGATGTTTGGCTTTGGAAATCTTTCTGCGCTTTCTCGTCTTTAAAGATGTTGATCAGACAGATTACAGACGTTAAGATTGTATTCAATGAGTTATTCATACTTAACAGATTTCAACAATTTATGTACCAAAAATATTCAGCTTCTTCTACTGCTATATCTGCTATATCTTTCGGTAAGTTCATCTTGTCAAACTCAGATTCATTTTGGCCCGAATCTAAAATCTGAATGTTCTTACAGGGCCAGAATGTATTGATAAAACTCACTAAATTGTTAAAATATCAGTGAATAGCTGTTTGTTTCAGTATTCAATAAGTGTTTCTTAAAACACGGTAATATTGAGCATCTTTTCCATCCAGGACTTTGTGAATATTTCTGTGTTTTTTATGGTGCCAACTTAGGATTTTTGTAAGGAATTTTTATATTTCGCTCGTGTATGATGTCAAACGTGACTTTTTATCAATCGCTGCATTGATGATGGACTGTAGCTTGACATCAAGTGAAGCTGAGGCAGCAGTCACTTAAACCCAACGTTTTCTGACAATTTTAAGAAAAAAATTGCATTAAAAATCAGAAAAATGTGGGGACCTGTGGATTTTTTTGTGGATTTTGTATGAATTTTGCAGATGTGTGAAAAACTGGACGGACTACTTGATGTAATTTGGAGTCTAAAGGGCCACATAGTAAGCTACGGCGGGCCAGATTTGGCCCCTGGACCTTGAGTTTGACATGTGTTATATACTTTTTGTAATATTTAAACTCTTCTGCAGATTTTGGCTCCACTGAAACACACTATTGCAGCTTTGAAA